TCTCTCTCTCTCTCTCTCTCTCTCTCTCTCTCTCTCTCTCTCTCTCTGTATTAAGCCAGTAACATCAACCAGGCTTCTTCTGTGCATCTTTGTGATCACACATAACTCTGTACCGTGACTTTTACAACTTTGGAAGATAAGAGTAGGCAAGCTCAGAAGACTGTTGAAAAGGATGACCCAATGCCTCCAACCATGGGATGGAATGGATCGAACCCATAACCCCACTGACATTCAAATATGATCCAGGAATCTCAGGGAGAACCTTGTTTAATATAACAATTGACTGCTCACTTCCCCCGTGGGGCAACACGCAGATGTGACCGTCCAAAAGCTTGAGTTTATCTTATGGGGACCATTGGTTCTCTTTGGTAGTCTCAAAGATCACTTAAAGATGGAATACACACCGAGTCTCAATATAGTGTTTATAAGTGAACTTATGAGCCTGTTGGTGGCTTATTGTCTGCCCTTGGCAAAGCTGAACGCCTCTGGAAGCTTGGTATGGTTTTGAGAGTCTCTTGTATGTTTCTTATGGCAGGTAGCGCAGCCCACAGGGTGGAGAAGAACCTCAGGCTGAAACCCTAGGCTGAGTATTCAAGAGCACAGACCAGGGAGGTTCAAAGTCAGGATATCTCCTTTGTTTGCCATATCTAGAGTTTCCCAGCTTTCTGTGACTTAAGTATCAAGCTTAATGCACGCCCCCGCCCCCAACGCCTCAGCCCATGTGTGAATAGATAGCCCTAAAGACGCAGCTCCTGCAAAGCCAACTCAGAACCCTCGTGCTTGGCGCTCCTTCCTAACTTTTCTGGCTTGTCTAAGTCTAAATATTGACTTTACTCCTCCGTTGAGTAGTTTGAGACGGGATGGAAACCCCACGGCCAACAGTGGGATCAAATGTTTTATACTTTTTTACACAGTCTTGCCTTCCTTCCTCTTTTTTTGGGGGGTGGGTGGGTGGGTGTGAGTGTGGAACTCTTCTACCTATCTCCCCCTGCCCCCACCTGGCTGTGAACCTAGTAGCCTGAAGCTGAACTCTTAAGTTCAGGTGTGTGCAAGCCCCTCACCGGCTGCGTGTACTGTTGGCACAGCAACTCACAACAGACTCCCTAGACACAGGGCTGGGGGGAGGGGAGGGCGAGGGGCGTCATCGGGCAACCAAAGGCACTGCTTGGGGCAGAGCAAGCACCCAAGGGATCAGAGCACCCCGCTTCTCACGTCCCGAGTTCCCCACCAGAGTCCTTCGAGGAAAAGGCGCCTTTCCCGGGGGCGCGGCAGCACCCGCCCTGGTGAGCCGGCCTGCTAAGGTGCCTGTTGTACGTGTTCTCTGCCGCTACAAGTTAGGGGTGCGGCCGGGGCGGGTGCTCCTCCACATCTCTTCGGCTTACTCCTTTGGGAGGGGACTGTCCCCCGCATCCCTTCAGCTTACTCCCGCAAACGTCGCTGGGGGGTGGTGGCACATGGGCCGGGGTCCCCACCTGCCACCCGCGGGGCGATCGGGAGCTGGTGGGGTGCTCCGCTGCTCACTGGGGCTCTCTGCGCGACACAACCACCTACCCTGCAGCCGAGCGAGACCCGGCTCCCTCCGCCGCTCAGCAGCGGCCCCCGCCGCGCGCGCTCGCGGGGACGCCGGGACCCTGCGCACCGCGCGCCACCCGCCCGGCGTGGCACAAAGGCAGCATGGCCCAGCCGCGCCCGGCCGCGTCCGCGTCCCGGCGCAGGCCACGGGACTCGTCCCCAGGTCGCTGTCGCCGCCAGCCCTGCCCTCCTCCCGCCCCCTTCCCCAGCCAGGCGGGGCACCGGGCGGAACCCTGCGCCCCGGCACGGAGCAAGCAACGCGGTGGCGGCCTCCGATCGCTCCCTCTCTCTATGGTGACGTGAGCAGCCTTGGCGGCTATTTATAACCACACGATTGGATTTCATTCATGAAACCAGGGCCTGGTGTGTCTGAGCTGTGGGACGCGAGGTGGCGAAGGTGCCGCGGCTGCACGCACACCGGAGGGGCCTGGGCTCCAGGGCGCTTGGTCGGGACCAGCGTGCGTCTCTCGCACTCCTGGGACCCGGCCTTGGGCCAAGCGGAGACCAGAGCAGGGCAGGGTGTGTGCGACCTGTCCCCGCGCCCCCTCCCCGAAGCATCCCACCCACTCCCGAACATCCGCTGGCCCTCAGTCCTGGGCTCAGGAAAAGTAAGTTGGGCCACTAACCGGCTGGGCAGCATAGCTTTCTTCCCCCTAGGAACTGACCGGCCGCGGACTCCGAGGGAGGACATTGGCTTTTGTTTCAAAACCGAGCCCAGCTGCTGACTAAGCGCTGCGCTGGCCCAGCCTCCTCCCCTGGGCGCTGCACGTGCGGGCTGGCTCTCCCCCTCCTGGTCACCTTCCCCTGTACCGGGCTCGAGGGGTCTCGGTAAGGGGGTGGGTGGGGGCGCCCTGTTGCCCCCGATCCTCCCCACCCCCACTTCCCACCCCGAAATCTGCCGTTTTAGAGAGGCTGGAGGGAAGAGCTGAAACTGATTTTTTGGCCTCTCCCGGGTCGGTAGGAAATCTTGGAAAGGAAAACCAGCTAGTACTTCTCGGGGACATTGTGGACTTTCAAGCCATTGTGAGTTCTGGGGGCAGAGTCTTGGCTACTTTTCACGGATCTGCATAAGAACTGCCTAGGTGCTTAGGGGTGTCAGACATCACGGGAAACTCTAAGGAGGTGACAGGGGACGAAACTAACTTGGCTCCTGTCCGCAGGGAACTTTCAGTCTGCCTTCTCAACTGCCTGTAAGACTCAGCTGTGTAATCGGCTCACTCTAGTCTTGCTAGACAGCTGGCGGATTAGGGTGTGAATGCCTTCAGCTAGGGATGTGTTATGTTTATAAACCCTTCTTCTGAAGGCTGAGCACCAAGCACACAAAAAATACCCACGCTACATCCTTGGCCTCCATCAGTTCTTAGGTGCGGCCCTGCCAGGATCTCAAAAGGGTGGCAAAGGTAGACATATTTTACTGTGAGTTTGGTTTCTTTGGGTTATCCTTCAAGCTTCCCCTAAAGAAAGAATAACAAACAAAACCCTCTCTTACAGTAACGCCTCCATCCCACCTTTTCAGGAAACCACATTTGGTTTTCTTAGATGGCTTTCTCTTCCTCCCTAGAATCCTTGAATGGTTTTCAGTCCCTTTGGTAATTTCCTGCCCCTCCCTTAGATCCAGGCTCTCCTGTAGCCAAGGCTGATCTCCAGCTATGTTGCCAAGGCTGGCCTTGAACTCTTAAAGCCTCGGCCTTGCAGGTTTGTACCACCAACAGGCTAAGCAAACGAAATGTTTTTTTTTTGTTTTTGTTTTTTGTTTTATAAGAAAATGTTGTGCGGGCCACCTGCGTGATTTAAGCTAGCCTTAATGTACTGTTGTCGTTGGAAATGGGGTCATCAAGGCCATAACCTTTTGATACTAGCAAGAGAAGGAATCAGAAAGTCAAATTCCTGTGGCTCCCTCAATAGACACTCTCTTCAGGAATATATTAGGGAAAGTTAATTAACCCCATTGTTGCTAGCTAGCCCCTTGTCTACAAATTACTTCTTTTTAAGCTACCTTGGGCATTGAGGAATAGAACAGTAACTAAGAAATAGGAACTTAGTAACTAGGAAATATGTGTTGTGGCCCCAAGCACAGTGGGGAATGACTTTCCTTTCTTTTTCCTTTTTTCTTAAAATCATGACCCTACCACAACTGAGGAAGCATGCCATCAGAACCATTTTGCAGATGGGGTAACTGAGGCCAAGAAAATTTACATTTTTAGTATTGTCAGTGGCTCACATTTATGCCCTGGGGGTTATCCAGTGCTGGTTTTATTTTATCACTAACCTTTGTGGTAATATCCAGCCCCCTTTGGGTGTCTTTCACTTCCTCAGTCACACAATAAAAAGATGAACCTGCTATCACCTATCCAAAATGCCAGGCATGAAGGCTCGTCCCTGTGGTTCTCCACACTGCCAGAGGGAGAGACAGCAGGGGGCCTGGGGCTCACTGGTTCTAAAGCCTAGCTGATCCAATGGCTGATAGTTCCAGTGAGAGACCTTGCCTCAAAAAAGGGGGGAGGGGATGGAACAACTCCAAGGTTGATCTCTGAACTCCACAAATATGCGCAGAAGCATGTAACGCTCTTTACCCCCTCCTCACATGGCAACATATGTACACACATGGCAGCATATGTACACACCTACACATATGGACAAAAATAAAAAGGTCACATGACAATGATTTTCCGAAGCATCAGGGAGGTCGTAAGAGTAGAAAGACACCAAGCACTGTGCATACTCTTGAGATGCCTGACCCTCTCCAGAGCCCCCCCCCATCCCCCCCATCCCAAGGGTCATCCTTGTAGAGTGGGTGAGGAACGTTCACTAGCCATTTTGCTACCATTTTGGACCTCATGGAACACCTCATCTTGGGGGGAAATGATCTGGAGAACTTCCAGGAAAATAAATTGCTACTAATGGTGATTTCAGATATAGCAGAGGAAAACTTATTGAAAATTTGTACCAAGCAAGGGCAGGGATGTCAAGAGGGTTTATCGCAATCTTTCCACATGTGACCTCTGGTTCACAAAGGTGGAGGAGTGAACATGCTGCATGCACTGTGACTACCAACAGGAAAGAGGGAAGCGAAGCAGAATGGATGGTGCATCTTTATGCAAGAGATCAGCTGGGCTCCAGCCCACCAAAGATGCAGCCTTTCTGTTTGCTGACAGAATCCATGAGTCATTCACCTTACATATACAAGAACTAGAGGCCTCCCTCACTGGAAATTAGCCAATGTTTTTTTTTCTCTATACACGAAGCTTGCTGCACAAAGGTGATGTTAAACTTGTTATGGTAGGTATTTTACCAATGACATTGCCCTCCCCAAAATAAATAAATAAATAAATAAATAAATAAATAAATAAATAAATAAAATATACTCCCTCCACCACCACCAAGTCAAAACAACACCAACAACCAAAACCACCTCAGACCAGCCACCTCACGTGTGTGCACATGTGCACATACATACACAATAATTATAACTTAAAAATTTAAATACCACAATTTACATATAGAAGCATTGTTTAGTTACCAATAAAATCACTCACTACCGAGCCCTTGGCACTTGTAATTCCCCCGAACCCATTAATCCCCCCCATCACTAGACTTTTGTCATGATGAGACCCAATTAAATATTTTTGGAAATATCAACATGTAAATTTTCAGATCGAAGTTTTCACTGCACACACTACCTTTGAGATCTATCCACGGTATCACCTATATTGGCAGCTTGTTTCTCTTTGTTGCTAAGTATCTATTATATATATGGATACACCAGGGTGTGCTCATTCACCTATGGAATGCCATTCGAGTATTTTCAATATTTTGCTACAATGAAAAAAACACTTCCATAAACATTTGTACGCAAATGTTTTGTGTGTGAATATTTTTCCCTTTGAGATGAATGTTCAAGACTGCCAAGTCCCGAATCAGATGCTAAATAAGCTGTCAGACTGTTTATTTTCAGAGTGACTGCATGTTTCACATTCCCACCAATAATATTTGGTGTCATTACTTTTTTCCAACTTTTTTTTTTTTTTTGTTATTTACAAAATTACTGTTCAACAGTAGTGAAGAGAACTAACTCACCGTGGCTTCGATTTGCATTTCCCAATCCTGTCAAAACATCTCTCCCAGGGCCAACTGATCACCCTTATCTTCTTATTGCTAAAAGAGATGTTCTTGGTTTTGGCTAGTTTATAAAGGGGTTGTCTTGCTATTGCATATTCTAATTTTTTGTTTTTTAGGTATTTATTTTTATGTTTCGATACGCGTGCTTACGTGTGGCTGCTTAGGTGTATGTGCACACAAGTGCAGGTGGTTGCAGAAGCCACAAGAGGGAGTCAGATCCCTGTAGCTGAAGTTTGAAGGTGGTTTAGAGATGCCAGTGTGGGTACTGGAATCTGATTCCCGGTCCTCTGCAAGAGCTGCAAGGCTTATAGCCGCTGAGCCAACTCTCTAGTCCTTTATAGTTGAATTAAATTAAAAAAAAATTCTGGGGTCATAATCTTCAAATTGCAAATTAAATGTGCACTACCCCCAGGAAAACTCTACCATCAACTCAATCACACGTGCTCAGTGCTTCTATTGCCTGAAGCTTTTCCCAGTATATCCGTGGTATGGGAAGTTACTTACATAAAGTTCCCACGGAGAGAGTTTTCTCAGTTATGTGGTGTTAAGTCCTCATTGGAGCGGTCTGTAACCGACAGCCCGACGAGCCAACGCCCCTCCCTCCTGCGCAGGCGCAAAAGTCTCCCCCAGTGATTGATGCAACAGCTGTGGGCCAGTTGACTTGAACCATTGGGGTGTAGCGAGACAGCTGCCACTTCCCCACCCCTCGGTCTGGAATGCCAGATCTCAAGCTAGGTTGGTGGATGGATAATGAATGTCAGGTGCCAGGGAGCCATTTAAGACACAGGGAGTGAAGACACAGGAGAAACGGAGCTGGCGGATGGGCCTGCTTTAAAGAACAGCTGCATTTGGTCAAAAGGTTTATTGAGAAGCAGCTGTTGGGGGAGACCGCTGGGGTGACATAGCGGCTGTTGCCATGGCCAAGGACTTTATGGCATCTAAAGGATGTTGTGGCCCGTGGCCCGTGGCCCGTGGAGACGTTGCCTCCACTGACTGACTGGCTCCAAAAAACTGCTCCGGGCTTCAGAGCCGGAATAGGGCAGGGCACCGGGTTTTATGAGCCTTTACCAGCAGCTTTGTGTAAGCCACTCTGGATGCTAGCCTTTCAGGAGCCATAGGGTTGATCTCAACTGCTCCATTCGGAGGCCTGCCCTCTGGTTAGTGACAAGGGGCAGAGACGCGTGATTCCGTGTGCCGTAATCACGCGTAATGCCGTGTGTTGATGACCAAAAGAGAAAACGACCTCTTGGGAACCCTGTTTCTGCAGATACCCTTTTATTCAATACTCCAACACGGGAGCAACATTTTTACAAGTTGCTCTAGCTAGACCAGCATGGACAAGAATTTCCCAGCTTCCCATCTTGGGGTCCCTTCCTCAACTTTTGTGTGGTTGATTATGTCCATCATATGAAACAATCCATTCCGCCTCTAGCATCATCGTGAGGTTTTATATGGAGCTGCAATCGCTTGGGTGAGAATAAAAGCCCTTGGTTCTGAGCGACCCAGCTGTGTTGGGGTGGGCTCTTGTAAAATTAATTTAGTGCAAGTGTTTTTCAAGTCACCTCAGCAGCGCAGAGGTCTCCATCTCTCCCTGCTTTCTGCAGCACACTCTGGAGGATGCCATAGGACTCTGGCTTGTCCGGGAGTCACCCTGTTTTCCTAAAAGCTGCAGGTGAACGGCATCCGCAGCTCTTGGAGAGCTGCGTGTATTCCATCCCATCCTGAGGTAGTTAGGCGGACAAACTCCTATGTTAAAGAATAATATATAAAGATATTAAAGATACAGATGAATACTAGTCTGATCATGGGATTTGGGTGGTCACCCACTTCAAGGTCAATATATTAGAGATTTTTGTACTTATTTATCTTGCAAGCCAAAATTCACAGCACAATTTCTATCTTTCTGAGTATCACTGAACGAGACAGACAGGATTGAGTCTGCCCAGCATACTGCCGTGTGCTGAGAGGGCAGCATGGCCTTTCTCTATGCATCCATTTCTAAGGTTTTCTGTTGGTGTTGGATGAGTTTGTTAAAAATGGGATTTTGCAAGCCTGGAAGTTCTTCTTTCTTCTTTTGGTCAAAAGCCTCCTCTGCCCACATGTCTGTGCGAACTCAGCTCAGCATGCTCAAGAGGCAGGAGCCAGCTGCCCTTTGCTCCGTATGGAAGCAGAAACCGGAAGAGTTCTGTGTGTGTGTATGGTCAGCATTTTTTTTTATAAAATTAATTTTTATTTATTCTTCTCTTATACAATACACCCTGACTGTAGCTTTGCATCTGAAAAGGACCCTTGTTTCAGGGATGAACCAATAGGCACATTCATTGTTAATATGACAAAATGTGCTAGTGCTCTTCTTCAGTTTTACCTGATTAAAAATAAGTGACATGTAGGTGCTATGCAGTTTTTAAAAGCCATCTTGCCTGACTGCTTTATATAATACCTCTTTATCATCACCAAACAAACAACAACCCCAAACCCATTATCACCACCACCACTGCCACCGGAACCAACCAAAAACTGTCAACAAAGGTTAAAGGGAAAAAGAAATAGGAGAGGAAAAGAAAGAAAATAAAACTGTATAGCCACATGATTTTTAATCCAGTGTGTGTAAGTGTTCCAAAGGCCACAGGGAGGCAGAAATAATACTGTACGGAGCAGTTGTTCATTGTGAACTTAAGAATGTTGATGTAAGTCGGGCAGTGGTGGCGCACGCCTTTAATCCCAGCATTTGAGAGACAGAGGCAGATGGATTTCTGAGTTCGAGGCCAGCCTGGTCTACAGAGTGAGTTCCAGGACAGCCAGGGCCACACAGAGAAACCCTGTGTCGAAAAACCAAAAACAAACAAACAAACAAACAAAGAACGCTGATGTAAAAGAAAAGCTGTGTGCTGGCGGTAAATATGGCGGTCATGGGCTCATGAGGCCGTTTAAAAGTGTCATGAATGGGGTTCAGGGGTTCAAAGCAGACAACTGTGCATGTAGGGAATCCCGATTCAGTTCTGGGCACACACATCAGTTGGCTCACAACTGCCTGGAACCCCAGGAGTTTTGCTCTGTTCCTGAGTTCTGGCTTCTTCCTGTGTCCCCATCCATACAAGTGAACTGTTTTTCTATTCAGAAACCAGAAAAAAAAAAAGTAAACCACAATACATGTGCACACACACATACTCACTTCGGAAAAACAGCTCCACCCACATCCTGTATTTTTAATATCACACTTACGTCCTTGCTCGGCATCTTTGATGAGCACACCCTTTAATGTTCAGAATGAAGAACCTTGAAATACACTATCTTCAACCCAAGAGACCGAGAAGTGAGGTTTTCCAGAGGTTGAACGACTTGTTTCTGTGTGAGAGGAGTCACACCAACTAACCCCAAATTCCATGCCTGCTCTTAGATCATGTTCGAGCAGATCTTAAGTACTCTGATCCACAGGACGCTGAGTTCTATCTAGATTTCCCTTAGAAGGAGAAAGTCAAGAATCACTAAGGCCTTTGCAGGACACTTACCATGGCCAAGGAAAGGCTAAGCCATGAGGCTTGTCTTCAGTTCGTGTAGTGCCTTTCAAACATACGTGTGCAGACACCTGACTCCCTCCCTCAGATTTGAGAGCACGTTTGTACACACAACACCCGGGTCTCTCCTTAGCTCTGAAGAGATTTATGTTGGATATTTCACAGGCTATTTATCACTTGGTAAATTCCCCTTCACGGGCAAGCCGTTAACTGCATTTCTGTGAATGATGTAATCAGTTAAGCACGTCTGGAGCAACTTTGTGTTTCTTTCTCTTGTACACATAAGCCAAGGAGGCCAGGGGCCAGGGCACTTCTGTCTAGGATCAGCCTTAAGGGGCCTAGGGATTTGAGGAGAGGCGTGGGAGAAGTTTCCTTTAAGATTTCACCTCTGTCTAGGGTAATTCAAACAGCACCATATGGCATCTATCTGTCTGTCGGTCAATCTATTTTCTATGATCTACCTACTTACCTCTCTCTTGATTTTCTATTATCTATCTATCTATCTATCCATCTATCTATCTCACTCTCTCTCTCTTTCTCTGTATTTTGGTGTCTCTGTGTCCTTATGTGCCCATGCATACACAAGTGTGCCTGTGGATGCATGCTCCTCTGCATCCCTGCATCCTCAGGGATGTTCTTCAGAAGTCATCTTCTTTGCTCACTTGAGTCTCTGAGTAAGACCTCAGGCTCTCCAGTCTAGAATTAGGCTAGAATGGCTGGTCGGCGAGCCCTAGGGAACTGCTTGTTTCTGCTCCCCAGTGCGAGGATTGCAAACACTGGCCACTATAGTCTGTGATGGGCATCGAACTTGGGTCCTCATGCTTCCAAGCTCTTTACCAGCTGAGCTCTCTGTCAAGACTTCATAGCTTTAAACATAGGCGGGGTACGCCTACTCTGAAAATACAAAACATTCCAAATTTCAACTCCTTTTGAGTGCTGACATGATGTCACAGTGGAAAATTTCCTATTACGAGACTTCCGTTTTGTGTCCAAAATCAATGACAATGTACAATAACTTCCAGCATGTGTATAAGGTATATTAAATACAGATGCATTTCCTATGTAGATTTGTTTCTGTGTCCAAGAGAGCTCATTATGTTAGAATAATATATTTCAAATGCCAACAAAATGTAAAATCTGAATGTTTTCTGGTCCCAAGCAACGGTACATAAAACTTTCTTTTCTTCTCTTTTTTTTTAAACAGGATTACTTAGTTATAATTTTCTCTAGTCATCGATTTAGCAGGAAAACTGATGATGTAAAGGAAGAGTCCCCTTGTCCTGCTGTGATTACTGGCAACATACATTATCCTTGATAAGACACTTTGAGATATAAAAACACATTTGGCAAAGATTAACATGCCACTAGCAGGCATGATTTTGTAATCTGTAATGCCAGCTAACATTTACTAAGTACCTACTGTGTGTTAGGTGTGGGGTCCAAGACTTTGACAGTCGTGAATTTCTTATAGTGATCTTATGGAAGGGTAGCATTAAAATCCCTATTTTATAGATGAGGAAACTTAGGTCCCCGAAAGACAAAGAGCATCATAGTTTGCATTTGAAGCTGAAGAGAACTGAAGGGCTCTGGCATTTATGAGGTAAGTGTACAAGGATCCTCATGGGCAACACATATTGATCAGGTACCAGAATGATATTACTTCTCTGCCACCGAGACAAAGGACGTAATTTATATTGAGTTCATTCCTTGCTATTTCCTGAAGCTAGCATGTCATCATTCCACTTCCTAGGGAGAGATCAGGAAGCTGTGGTGTTTTGCCTCAGGCCAGCAACACCAGTTTGATATAAAGCGAAAGCCACACGGGGGAAACAGCCCGCTTTGGCAGATGGAGTGGCTATGGTATCAATATGGGCAACATGGGTGAGTATGTCAGTTAATCTTAGTATTCAAATAAAGAATATTTTTTTTGGGCTGGAGAGATGGCTCAGTGGTGAAGAGCACTGACTACTCTTCCAGAGGTCCTGCATTCAATTCCCATCAATCACACGGTGGCTCACAACCATCTGCAACACCCTCTTCTGGTGTGCTTGAAGAGAGTAATGGTGTACTTATATACATTAAATAAATAAATAATTTTTTAAAAAAGAATATTTCTTGATGTTTAAATATCTATATCTATCTGGTGGGTGAGCCAGGTACACACACATGTGTGGACCATTGACTTCAAAGTTATCTCTCTTTTTTTTCTGGGCCAATACAATGTTCTTGCTAAAGACATCAAGTCTTATTTTTTTTCCCTCTGAGTTACTTGGCATTGGATTGGCCAAGGGTATTTGTATAAAGTGGATACTGAATGAGACCCTCACAAGAAACCAAAGCCAGTGGTCAACTGTCTCTTGTTTGGGGAACAGTTTTCAATTCTTGAATCCAAATAACATCTTCTGTTAGCAGTGGCAAAGTAATTAAACACACACACACACACACACACACACACACACACACACGACTCTAAAGACTTGCTTTGGTCAAAAGGGACCTACACCACTGTTGTTCTTATAAGCACTGACATTTGTGCTATGAGATTACTTCTGGGCTGTGTTTGTTGACGTGGCTATCTATTCTCAGGAGACAGTTGGGGTGGCCATTATCTTGAGTAAGAACTTATAAAGAGACAGGCACAGGCAGATGAAATACACCCTGGAATTCTCTTTAAGTGTGCACACTTTTATTCTCCACATTAGTGAGGGACCACGAGCCAGAAGGATGGAAGACATTGAGGGAGACATATTTCTTTCAGTTCAGTGTGCTCTGTTCTGGTTCCCTTTATTGCTGTTTGGGAAATGCTAGCTTTTTAGTTCTATCAAATCTAATGAAGAACAGAGACGGTATGGTGGAGCCTGAACAATGGTGTGTGCACGATTGATAATGCCTAGCCAGCCTGTTTGGTGTCCCCATGGGAGAACTGTCTTGGGTGCACTCTGTCTCTTGCCAAGGCCACCATAGACTCAGCTGTCAATAAAAACGATCATGTTGCAGAAGAGGGTTTATGGCTGAGAAGAACTCCAGAGCATACCTCTTTCCTCCTAAGAGAATTCTAGAAAGATAGAAGGAAGAGGGCTTTCCAAAAAGCACTTCATGCTCTGATCATGGAAAACATGAAGTGAGTGTCCATCAGGGACTGAATGACGTCTTCTGGGTCTTCTGGATACTCATGACTTCTAAGCGGCTCATTTGACTTGAGTTTAGGGTCTCCAAATAAAGCAGAAGACACTCAATTATGTTAAAATATTCCGTTTAGTACTCAGCGCATAGTGAAAATTAGTCACTGTTTATGCAAGATCCAAATGTAAGTATCGTTCTGTTTACTTGAGAATCTGACAATTTTCCCATGGAAAGAGTGAGGAGAGAAAGAAGAAGAGTTGAATGGAAGGAAAGTAGATAGAATTCATTTATTTTTTGAATTATTCAAATAATTTAGCAATAAACAGCAGGTAAGATAGCTTGGTCAAGTAGCCGTTCCCAATGTTCATGGGACCTGTTGAGTGACAGCTAAAAATGGGGAGTAACCGTTTAGCTACTAAGCACCCAGCCAGCCTAGGAAATACTTTTTAATTTGATCTCTTTTTTCCTCTTATATTTCTCATTGCAGGACTTCTTGGGGTGGCATTTACATACGAAAGTACAAATCATGTATTTATCCTGGGGGCAGGAGTCTGTGTTGAACCACTCATACATGTTCCACGGAGTGTATGTGGGGGAATCTCTATGGTTAAAATATCTACCATTGATGCCTACTGTTCACTTGAGTATGCTATGAACATCAGGGCAAAATGACATAAAAACACTGCCCAGCAAGGACCAGTTGACACAAGCGGGAAGTATGGCTCCTGTTTTGGGAGACCTATGGGTCGCTGTGTCGTTTATTCAAGGAGTAGCTGTCCTATGTTATTCTCCATCACAGATCATTGCCCAATCTTATTACGTAGCACAGATACTCCTACATGTGGCTGTGTGTCTACAGAGGCCTGAGGGCGACATCAGGCTCTTCTTCAGTTATGCTCGATCTACCTTATTTTTTTCAGACAGGTGTCTCAATGAGCCTGGGGCTCGCTTTCGAGGTTACAGTGACTGAGCAGCAAGCACCAAAGGTCCTCCTTTCCTCCCCCTCTCCCAGCACTGGTCTGCTTCAGTGCCTAGCTTTTACATGATGCTGAGGACCTCAACTCACGTCTTCGTGCTTGCATGGTGAGAACATTTATCTGTGGGGACATCTCCCAGCCTGTTTCTGCAAGGTTTGTTATGAAGGTTATACTCAAATACAGAAGCATTACTTATACATCGTAAATGTAATGAATTCTAACATACATACATATATATACATATGCATGCATACACATATGCATGCATATGTATATGCATATATATGTATATATATATATATGTATATACACACACACACTGTTTATAATGTGATACCTGGGGTCAATGATTCAAGATGAAGACTCAAGCGACTCTTGATAAAATATAACCAGGTTGTCACAAACTCACAAATCCTAAAGACAATGTTAGCAAACTAAACATTGAATCTATAAAGGAGTATAACCACAGCAGGGGGGTTGGTCAAGAATGCAAAGCTGAGTTAACATTCAAATGCCAGTAATGTGGTGTATCCAGTGGCTAAAAGTGCTTGCCTGTGCAACCCGATTGTAGGAGGAGCTAAGGTGGGAGGAGTAAGGAGAGGAAGAGGAGGAGTAGGAGAGGAAGAGGAAAAGGAAGAGGAGCTAGAGGAAAGCGAGAGAGAGAGAGAAAGAGAGAGAGAGAGAGAGAGAGAGAGAGA